GGGGGAGGGAGGGAGCAAAGAGAGACGTGCCGTTCTCTCCACTTATTGTATTTGCAGAGTGCCAAAGCTTAGCGGGAGAGAGATAAAAAGACAGTTACACAATGCAATCTGGAAACAAAGCTGATGTGCATCGGAAAAAAAACAACAAGTCTAAGAGGTTTATGGAGCATTTTTACCTGGAAACAGATAAAGAAAAAGGAAAAACACACATATATATATATAAAACAGCGATATGCAGGAGATCCTGTGAGCAATGGGTGAATAAAATGAAATATATTAGCCAGTAGAGCGAATGAAGTCATGCTGGGCTTCTGTAATCGAGTTGAAGTGGATTATTGCATAAAGGAGTAGGTGTATGAGAGCAGAAGCCAAGGAAAAGGAGGTCACACATGCAGGAAAGTATTTAAAATCAGCTCATTGGGAATTCAAGCCGCTTCATTAAAAACTTTTCTCTCTTCATAGTATTTTTTTTTTTTTAGTTTTTTTTTTTTTTCAAAGCATTGATCTTCTCGTCAGGCTCTCTGCTTCTGTTCGGCAGGTGAAATCCAAACCGTTCATTTCCCAATCCTGGCGTCGCGTTACGGATCGTCTTGCCGCGAGTCAGTGAAACGTCAAAAAGCCAGCTTTTGTTTGTTGGAGCTTTGTTTAGTTTTTAATGCTTGGTCATGACTTGGCCTGCTCCATAATGCAGTCACCGGAGCATAATGCGCTGCACTTAGTCATGTATTTTTAATGTGACAGCAACAGATTGACCACACGTGTTGGATTTAAGGCATCCGGTGCTGATGGAAAGGCCCTCTTGGTATTAATTGAACAACATGGATGGAATGATGCTTTTTTTTTTCCTCTTCGTATTTAGAAATCAGTCAAACATCAAGATGTGATTTATCTCTATCCTTTTAAGATTATTGTTTTTGTTTTGTTGGCAGGTTTTTCTCTGATCATTTTCTCTTGTGGGGGTCAATCTTAGAAAAACATCTATTGGGTTACACTTTAGTTAGCTTATTTTGTTTCCTTTGGAAACCGGTTAGTGTCCGATTTGTAAAATGTTTTATGTTGCATCTTTTCTGATGCTTTCCTTCCACCTGCAGTTTGATTAGATTAATGCTTTTTGGCTCTTTCATTTTTTTGTCGTATATATATTTTACCTTCCAGTCATGGCGTAACAACACAATAGGCTCGTAAGCAACATTATATGAAGAACAGCACGTTATAAAGGTTCAGGATACGGCGACAGTTCCATAAGTCGGCCAAGAAGATACAATTATGCAATTCTCAGTAGTATATGATCACACATCAGGCACGGGAAAAATAGTGACTGCGCACTTTGAATAGAACCAAAGGTGACTAGGGGTGTAAATAATAATCGTTTTGTATCGATGCATCGATCCAACAGCCAACGATCCGATGCATCGACGCGTCCGCAAGAGAATCGATTCATGTTTTTTTTTTTTTCCTCCGGTCTATTTTTATCCATTTTCTCCTGGGCGTCATTCTCCCTCCCGTGCTCCGGTGGCGCTAAACCTATTTTGCCCTCCTACCTCGCTTCCTGGTTATATTCTTACAGCAGTGTGTTGCAGTGAGCTTGATGCAGACATTTTTAAATTATGCTCAATATTGAAGCGTGGTCTGTGCTACACGCTGTGGGTCTAGATACGGCCGAGGCGGCGAGGAAGTGGGGGCAAGTTTAGTCCAACGACGGAGGGACATGAGGGCCAAAAAGAGCGGAGATCCAGGTGGAAAAGGGGTCCCAGCGTTCTCGCGCACCTCGCTCGTCTAGCGGGTCAAACTTCATGAGTTATTTTTCGCAATTTCGGTCATAAAAACAAAACAAGCTGGCCTCACTGTTTGCAGTCAGCTACAATTTGGGAGAGGTGCAGCGGAGCGTCTGCAGAGGGGGCGGGGATGTCTGAAGCCGAGGTATTGCACTGATTTTGTGCAGTATTTTTTAATTCAAGACCTTTCAGAATCTATAACGCAGAGTGCAACTTTTCTACTTCTGTTATTTGCTGTTGTTTCTCAAAAAAAATGCATAACGATATTACAGCTTTCATTGATTTATTTCAAGTTTGAAACATTGTCTAGCCTTTAAAGTGTTTAAAAAAAATGAACCAATTAATCAAATCGAATCGTATGGTTGTGTATTCTTGAGTATCGAAAAAAATCGAATCATTGGGTCAGGAAATCGATACTGAATCGAAACGCCATGATGGATGTGATTTACACACCTAATGGTGACAGCACACCATCGTGTGTGCTTATCGAGTATTTTTAATCTCTTATTTGATCATAGAACTCCCAGCTTACCTGCATCAGCAGGAAGCAGGAGGTTTTATTCATCTTCAAAACATTTTGTTGTTATTTTCTGCCATTTTAACATTGCTTTGGTGTGGAGTGCTTTCGGTAATATTCTCAATTAACTCCTCTTTTTTCTTGTTATGCAGAAACACATTGTTTGCATTCCCTTCAAAATCCTCTCCTTCATGAATACGTGCAGCATAAAGACCCCTTCTGATTGGACTGTTATATGTATTTTCTTCATTTTCTGCATGCTGTTAGAGTTTAGTATCATAGCTCTGCCTTCCTGTTTGGCTGTAGAGGAAGAGTAACAGAGAGAAAACTGCTGCATCTTCTCTTATATCTTTGAAATTTGCATGGGGCCGGGCTGGAGGTGGATTTAATAAAGAGGAAGGCTGATTTATCACAGTGCACAGGGGGAAAAAAAAGAGAGGCATGTTGGCTTTTCTTCAGCACACATTTAATTTATAGACTCTGCAGGCCTCAACAGGAGCAGATCCAGGCAGAAATTCAGAGAAAGACACACAGTAATGAACCTGGGGTGTCGTCATGATTTCACTCCATCACGAGGCGCGTTTTTTGTCACCAAAGTTTCATTATTCACGCCTCGGTGCCAAAGCGGAGGCAAACTGGAATTGATTGTCTGAGCAGACAGAGCTGCATAGACTTTTAGTCCTCAAACACTAGTCTGATCTCAGGCTCCCCATGTCTAAACAATCCTTCCTGGCTGCGGTCCTTTTTCTTTCTGTAACTAGTTGGATCGGATTTGGCTGCTTGGAGCCAGAAAACTGTCAGTCATTATATGAGTTGTTGTTTTGGGTTCATTGGTTTCATACCTCAGTTACTCATATCTCTGAAGACTCTCTATTGCCTTAAAGTGTCTTAAAGTCTTCACCTTGTGTCATCTTATAGTCTACAGATATACAGATATTCGGGCTGCATAAGCTTTTATAATGACAAATGTTATTCTATGTGTTTAGTGACTTAAAGGTGAAGAATCTCCCTCCCTGTGCTTTCCAAAATAGCGCTTACTCTCTGATTGGAAAGGTAACATCTGGACTTTAACTAGGCCACATCCACTCCACACATATCCTAATTGTTTCCCATTTATATTCCACTTGGTCACCCAACCCAGGAAGATAAAATTCAGGTTCCATTTTTTTTTTCCCCTGCAAAAAAACAATGCAGGTTGTTTATATGCACACATAGATAATCTGCTCTGGAGCCCAAACCGCCTCCTTAAACAGGCTGCATCACGCAGCAAGCATCATAAGCGGTTCTGCTAACGTCTCGCTCCTTCAGCACAGACTGTAAAGCTGTTTTCTTCAGAGAAAGTGAACTTTATTTCCATAATGTTGGACTGACTGCTGAATCTATAGGGTAACCTATCAATAAATGAGCCCTATGATTGTGGTGATGCTGAAACTCTCTTCCAGTAATATGTAAAGTGCTTGCAGGGCGGCAGGTAGAGACAAGACTAGCGCAGCCTGAATCTCCCCCCACCCCCCCTCTTAAAACTATGAACTCTGTCATAATTCTATCCTGAGGATCCAACTCTTGCAGCTAGCTTTGGATTCACCTACAGACAGCATGCTGTCTCCTAAACTTTGCGAGCTGAAGTGATATTTAGGACCAGTCCAGTAGGTATCGTTTAGATGCTGCACGTCTTCCAGTTCTAGACTGATGCAACAGCCCGGCGCCTCCGCACTTGCGGCATCAGGGTGGAGCTGAGCGGCTGTGGATACAAAGTTCCTGCTGTAGAACCTAAAAGATCACATGTACGGAAAGCCAAAGGTGCCATAAATAGAATAAGTTTAAAAAGTGACATTTTCAGTGTAATTAGAGATGA